GGGGGGCGGTGTAGCAATACAGTGTAGGTATAACAAGGGGATCCTCCTGGTCTCCCATTGACGTTGCTGCCTGACCCGGGTGAGTGTGCTCGGCCGGGGCGCAGATCTTTCCTCACTACAGGATCACACAATATGGCACCCTGCTCCTTATCCTCTCCTCTGGAAGCATTGCTCAGGACCCCTTCACTGCTGAGAGAAGCCAGCCCCGCTCTCCGACAAACAGGATCACACAATATGGCACCCTGCTCCTTATCCTCTCCTCTGGAAGCATTGCTCAGGACCCCTTCACTGCTGAGAGAAGCCAGCCCCGCTCTCCGACAACAAATTATTAAAGGAGAACTATGGGGTTAGGGATTTCCCCCATAATTCTCCTTAGGGTAACGGGAGGACACAAACTAGCGTCCTTCCGTCACCCTAGGCTCAGTATATAGGGAGCTACAGCTCTCGGTATACTGAGACGCCGCAGCTGAAGCGGATCCCGACAATTGTGCCGGGATCCGCCCAGCTGGGTGAGTGACAGCTGGCCCTGCCTATCTAGAGGCAGTCAGCGCTGGAGGATCGGAGCGGGGAGGGGGGAATCCAGTCCTGCCTATCAGTGTGCGAGTGACAGTCAGACATCCCCCATAAATTACACTGCACCCGCGGCAGCTGCCTCTCCTGCCCTCAAAGCTTGTCCTGCCCCTGCATGCCCCCAGCACTGCATCCTGGGAGGAAGGGGAGTCCCGTTTCCTGATACTCAGAAGTGCCGGGTATTTCACTTGGCAAACGGGGCGAGCTCCGGGGCGGTAAGTATCAACGGCAAGGGCTAGGATAATGAACGGGTTACTCTGCCCCCGAGAGACTCTCATTCATTTCATCTCCATGACAGGTGCACTTTGAGGGGGTTTCCAGCCAACAACAAGAAGCTTCTCACCGTCTCGTTCTGCAGCCGCACCCGTCCCCGGAGTTCATCGCGCTCCCTCTGCAGACTCACAATCCGGTCTCTCTTCTCCTGCAGGTCCGCCTCTTGCTGCCTCTTCTGATCTTGTTTCTGAGCCAGGTTCTGGGACAGGGACTCCAACCGCTCCAGATGGGTCATCACACCTTCATGATATGGGTCATGATACAGATCAGAAGAGAAATGAATGCGTGCATTACCCCCTGCCCCCCCATGATACGGATCAGAAGAGAAATGAATGCGTACATCCCCCTCCCCCATGATACAGATCAGAAGAGAAATGAATGCTTTGCCTATATGGACAGACTGCTAAGCTTTGTACCAATCCTGCCGGGGTTCCTATTCTGGGCCCCTGTCACTGCACCCCAATATCAAATCATCTTCTAGTGTCTTAATGTTGGAGGAAAAACAATAAAAGTAACCAGATAACGGCCTAGAGAGTATAGGGATGTATAGTAGGTGCCATAGGGCCACAGGTCGGACACTAGGGGTCCAGAGGATGATGAATTAGGTGAATTAGTTGCCTTACTCCTGGCGGTCATACCACGCAGGACTGCTGGTCCTCTCCACTGTACGTGATGACATCGGAGAGCTGTGATTGGTCGGGAGGCCGAGAGGAACGGATTCAGGAGGACCAGTCTTACCAATATGAGGAAGGTCAGTTATTTCTATCCCTCCTAGAGGAAAGGAGCATGCAGTGTGGGGAGGGGCCTAACGCAAGGCTTGGAATTCCTCCAGGCCAGAGTTCAGCAGATTTCTGATGACCCGTTATGGTTGATCTGCATCTACAAATGAAAAAGAAAGTCTCCGCCTTACCTTCCCGGAAGAGATTCTGGACCTGCTCCATGATTCCCACCCGTCCGGTACCACGTCCAAGGTCCGTATGTGCTGGGAGTTATCTGACAGACACAGTGAGGGTACAGAGATCAGTATGAGAAGCTAAGAACTGCCCCCCCCCCCCA